TTAGGAGGTGCTCCGATCAGGCCACAACCCAAGTCCCTCTCAAGTTGGCTCTCTCAACAAGGGTAACACGTTACCCTTTCATGAGTCTGACCTTGCGGAGGAAGCTAAGTGTTGAGGGTACATCGTTGCTTCTGTGAATGCAATATAGGATTATGCAAAGACGAAGGACTGCATTGTACAAAAGCCCGCCACCCAACTTTTGGTGAGACACTACTTTTAGAGTCTTACAAAAGAAACAACTTTCCGTCTCCAGCTTTGCTGGTTCTGTATTTATTGGACCCAATCAGCCATTTTTTTATGCAAACTGTAATTTTAGTAGAGGGAATATCCCGGAGGCACTCAGCAACTAGGGCTTTGATGTCAATTTTCCTCGTATGTGTGGAGATTTTGTCACAGAATATGAGTAATATAAAGGGTTAATATACACACTTAAATAAGGTACATTAGTCGTCATCCTATGCAAACTCATTGTGAATGGGGAAGTTATGTACCAGAGTGCTGACTAAAAAATATAGGTCCACTTTAAAAATACCGTAACTCACTCGGTTGTCAATTTGATACAAAATTCGGCACTTAGTGTGAAACTGCCTACTATTAGTCACCAAAACAAGCCGTCACCGAGATTTGATGGCACGACTAATGCCGATCCGTGGCACCGTAAAGTTGACGTACAAGGGAAGGCCGCTCGGTCGAAGTGGCGATCCGGAAGATGATGTGTGCCAAACGGATAGAGCTTGAAACTGATCTCAAATATATCTTCTATAACTGGAAAGCGTTTTTTTGAAGACTTATGAGGATTTCTTATGCTAATTTTCGTGAATTTCGATGGCAAAATTCGGAAATTTCCACACAAAATATGCAGGCTCACGCAAACCACCTAATAAGCGTTGTAGGCCTGAACTGATTCTAAACGTTCTTAGGCGTTGCTTAGCCCATATTGTTATTCACATTTCATTGTAGCCCAAAAAAGCCCATAACCTCCTTGGATTAACGCTTCGCATTTATATAACGTTGGTGCAAAAGTAATGCGCGTTTTCCGATTCCTCAATTTCACATGTTATAACTTTCTAGCAAATCTATATTTTTCAATGCGATAAAGACCATCAGAGGCAGCAAAGCTTTCGCAATACAGCACATATCCCTTTGTGCTCATATCATCAACGGCAAATTATGGATTAATAAGCGAAAAAAAGTTCTTTGAATCTTTCAACTGGCCAAAACTCCATTCAAAATTTGTTAATGTAATTGATAAGTAGCCTACCTTGTAGCCGCAAGCTTATAGTACAAAAAAGATGAAAGGTTTGTAAAAAAAGGTTTGCGAAAAGAAAAAAGTAAAAAAGTAAAATTGCCACCTTTTTTTAACAAATGGAATTTTTGTTTTCTGCGTAGTAAACGGCTAAACGTTTTTGCAAAAAAAACTGTCAAAAAGAGACCCTATCCTCACGCTTACAGAAATGAGTGAAGTTTGGCAATTGCTCTCTGCAGTACAACTACATGGACCGCAACAGACAATGATTGGCAGACTACGACTGGCCTTGTTGAGGTGTCTATATCTCAGCTTATATAATCTCAGAAAAAATGATTAGATGTGCATAATGTAGACATTTTGTAGGCATTGCAAAAGAAGCTGGATTTTCACAGGAATGTAAATATTTGCGCCTGAGTGCTGACCCGAGAAGTAAATGCAATGGAATTTTGGTTCAGTGCGCTTGTATAAAGCTCTATAATTCTTTTATGAATGAGGCTAGAAGCCCGTTCTGACGACCAGTGGATAGAGTATAAAAAGATTCTTGATGCCATGCTAAGTTTTTGCCAAAGAACAAATTTGATGGAAAAAATTGTCTTAAAACATGAGCTACAAAGACGCACTTTACTTTTGCACTAATCTAATAGAAGGTGTATTTAGAATCAGCGTTTCAAATTCTATCCGTTGGTATCCATCCAATTCCATATTGTTACTTCGAAAAAGCGGTCTTCCCTTGTTAGGGCCGTCCGCCTCGACTTGGATTGACGGTGGTTCACTACAGGTCATTCTATACTTGATGTCCCGCAAGTTAAAGTTGCCACACAGGTAGTTAGTGCACATATTTGTTTCAAAACTTTATTATCCTAAATATTCGATGAAAGATATTAAAAAACCAAGAATTTCGGCTATTAAATCAACAAAAAAAATACACAATATCGCTAATGTTCGATTTCCTGATAGCATAAATTAATGTTCCAAAGACTATAAGGTAGCTGAGCATAGTGGAGTATCTTGCTATTAAGTATTCAATTTGGGTTTTGAAACTTTTGTAAGAATAAAGAATGAAGGATTTGTTGTTTTCTTTACTCTTCTGAGCATATGCCGTAGATATCATGTTACACTGGAAGGAACAACCAAATGCTTGCGAACCTTTGCTATGAACTGCGGACGTTAGATGAGTAGCTTTGATTTGATTAAAAGGTTCAGGGATGAAAAGCGAGGAGCAGTTTATGATTCCGAATGAGAAAACGGCGGTACGTGCCACTACACTTGTCCTTGTTCCCCTTTGCTCTGAAGAGATACCTCATACAAGGATTTCATATTGCTGAGGTGGGAGGTCAACAGACAAAACAAAACATAAAAGCAGCCCTTCAAAAGCGTTTTTATTGTACTTTGTCTCCTTCAATCTAATGAAAATTGCCTGACTTGTAAGCTTGTGATGACACAATCATGCTAGCTCCACTGCGATATACTGACACACAAAATTATCAACTGCACACTCGATAAACCTGTCCGTAAACATATGTAGTGCTTTAGCGGCGTTGTCGAGATTTCGCTGCAAATTAGCTTGTGAACGAAATGTCACGACTGAACTGCCTGCATTTGCGCATGCAGAAGGGTCAGTTTAGTCACCTCACATGACCATATGTGCCGTTGCACATAATGTCAACCTTTGCCGTCTTCGTTCTGGTTTTCTGAAGTAGACATACTTCCAAGTGAGTGTTTGGGCTATATCATAGTGTCTTCTTGTCTTCTCAGGCACGTAACTGCTTAAAGTGTTGAGAACGTTAAGAATAGCTAATCGTTGCGTTTTGACTATCATTTCCAAGACGGGATCAACAAAGTGCGCCAAATTTCACCGAAAATCTTTCCTGAGAAGTGTATGACCGACAATTACTTGAGTACTCAAAATGCTAATGCGGCGAAGAGAATATAGTGTAGTGGAAGCCATGACTAGTGACTGAGTGCTTGCATGTTTCTCCTTGTTCCTTTTTATGCTATCTATGCCATACACAATCGGAGATGACCTAACGATTATTTAGCACTAGCATACCCCGCCTCCGCCCCGCCCTGTTAAAGCATTATGGTAGAGGCCACCAACCCCGTTCCTGTACAGCCTTCCCATGTTCCCATTTCTACATGCCAGTTCCCCATGGCCGGTTAGTTTTCGTAATCACCATGCTTACTTGCTCCCTGCGCCAACCCCAGCCCTGTCGATTATACTTTGCAAAAAAATCGATGCATTGATAAAATTGATGGACATTTCTAAAAAATAATAATGTATTCGTAATCAGCATGCTCGCTTATCCCCTCCTCTGTGTCAAACCCAGCCCAAAGCTTGCAAAAAATAAATAAAATCGATAAAAGTATAAGATAGTTCTAAAAACTATGAGACAAACAGACATTCAGCTTTATATATCAAGATTCTTTCCTCGAAGGCAGTGTCCCAGTAGAAAACTGCTTTCCGATTTTTCAACTTTTTGGAGCCTTTCGTTATGCTAAACCCATATCTGGGTTTTTCAGCGCATGAAAATGGTTGAGAGGTTTTTCGAAGTTCTACAAGTCCGTGTTCGCTCAAAATTACTTGCAAATAGGCGAGGTCCGAAAGACTTCTGGAGTAGATTCTAAGCCTTCTAGGTGCGCGTTTCGTTCAAGACAGATTATTTGGATAGTCTACTATTGCTACGCTGTGAAGTTTCAATACCCATGACTTTGCTGGGACGCTGCCTTTTAAGAGCGTCATCCTATCTATTTTATAATGTCTTTCTTTATTATGACAAATTGTTCATGATGTGGATTTTACTCGATTGTCAGCTCGTGAAAGCGCAAGCGAATATTTTAAAATATAAATGCGCATCAAATAAGCAACTGTACGACGACAAGGACGATGGTTGATATGCATAAAAGCTTCCATAACATTACCAATCAAGGCTGACGCCGCAAATCATAACTACCGTACTAAAAATTGTGTGAATGATTTTGTTTACATACTTTATATCCTTCCAAGATGGTTCCAACAAGAATCCTCAAAGCGAAAGGTTTCTTGATTTTAACGGCCTATATGGCCCTAAGCTTTGATAAAAATTATCTTACACTTCCGTGTCCCCGGAATGCTCATTGAAACACCTTCAGACTGCTGTTCAAGTGCCAAGCTTCTTTGGGCTTACTTTTCGGATTACATTGCTGACTATTGAAGAAAATCCGCGGTGCAATATCGCAGTGAGCGTAGTACGTCGTCGCAAACTAATCCAATTTTTCAATCAAGAAAAGACCAAATCTTGAGATTGAGACTGAGCAGAACTCTTCGCTTAGGCCATAATCTTTTGAATGACTTACAGTTCTATGCCAACTCGTTCGGATGTTGATGCCAAAGGGTAGCAGTCAACATAAACTGTAGCTAATTCCAGCTATACAGTTGCGTTACTCAATCTATAATTACGCTGGACTATATAGAAAATTTTGGGGAAAAAGTTTGAAGCTGGAAGTTTGATGGGCCCTAATCTTTACTCGACACCATTTTTATTTCACCAAAAAAATGGTGTCGAGTAAAAATTAGGGCGTGGCGTACGCCGCGATGAACGGTAGCTGCAATTGCATAGTCTGTCGCACAAGTCTTTAGCCAATTACTAGTTTGATTCATCTAAGTCGATGAGACTTAGAATCGGAAAGTAGTTGTTTACAGCAAACCTTTCCGATTCTATGACCTCAAACGACTATTCTATTCTAAGACTTCAAATGTAACAACACTGTACATACATGAAAGAATTTACTAGCAAGAGTAAAAAGCAATACCTAAACGAAAGATGACTACGAAAGATGAAGTGCCCCCGTATAGTAGAAAAGTCTAAAGAAAAGACAGGATAAGCGATGTATAGTTGTTTAGAGTTATTATCACTGCACACAGAGTCCAAGAGCGCTGTCGCATGTCGTAGGACAAGCAGCACAAGGACTTCCTTTCATGTAAAGCACTTGCTCCACGATGTTACCTCTATAAAACTTTCATACTAGCTTGAATGATAAAGCAAACGTGCGACGTACTTTGGCTCATATAGACATATGACCGTGTAGGAAGATAAGCATTTGGCGATTGCACATCCAATTTTATTGGTGTTGGCCCAAGCAATCTGAGAATAAGAAGTGATGGTGCTAATCTTGTGTCATGCAAAAAACAGCATGTGTTCCACACAATTTACTGTTTCCTAATATTGACTGCTTGTGATCATTAAGGTCTACAACGTGCATAAATGGAATTTCTAAAAAAGTATTCGTCCTTACCTGGGTATACGATTCTACAGGTTGATTCACATGATTACTACGGAATGTCACTTGCATTCCTGGACCATTCCTTTCGGTACTAACCACATTCCACCAATTTGTCACAGCCTATATCTTTGCATTTTACAAAATTCTACATCATGAACCAAACAAAATTGCCAACCTGCTTTACTGCATCTGTGTAAGTTGATGTAACAATACTAGTGCCGAAGTTTTTACCATACTTATTATGCGGTGTCTTAGATGTAGGACATTGACGTACTTCTTGAATAGCTTCCTCTTCCAGAGTGCAGTTGAAATTCTGAAAATTTTCAAGCATGATAGAGGTTCCAGGTCCACTTACAAGTTTTGACTGGATGATTCGCACCATAGGTAATAGAGATTACCAGTTTTAAGATATTTGCTCCAGATGGTAGAATGTTTCCGCTTGGTCTTTTGACTTGGCCGCCTTTCGCGAGACTGCTTCTAAAACATCATTTGTATAAGGCCGTGACGTAAATTTATTAAACCTTCGTCTGCCTCTGAAAAATCTAAAACTTCAGTGCTCCTAAGGACATCATTTAGCGAAACTGAACAGAAAATAAATGGCAAGAATCATTTTAAACCTCTTCTCGTTTTGTGTGTCCACGAACTGCTTCCTGAGTTCATCAGTCATTCCGACACTCGGGCACTGTGTATTCGTTCCTATAAAGTTTGTGGTCAAAACACTAATTTGTCTTCATCTTTCTGAGAATAGTGGAACGATTATTTTGATAGATGTGGTTGCTAATCCGGAATTTATTGAATTCGAGGAAGAAAGAAAAACGGAAAATGAAGAAAAGAAAAGTACACTTAGGTAGCTCTCATCATCGGCAGATTGGGAGACATTGCAAATTAAAATTCGTAACTGCTATGAATGTTGTCTGAGATCTTCCATTTGGTTTTGTAAATACTACACTCCAGGATTTCTGCTGATACAGCATCGTTAACGTAGTCCGTAGCTCATCAGTCATTCCGTAATAGCTTTTACGCAAAATGTAAAGGCTATGATGGAATGACTGATAAATTGGTCACGGGATCAACCTTTTTTGGAGTGAAGAAACGAACATCCCTATCTATCTTTCAATGATGACTGTAGTACCAAAAAGGCTACTGCATTTAAAAGACCGAGTTCTCAAAATTCTTCCATTTTCAACCTGGCTTCGTTAAGCCGACGAAAGGCCTCTTCTTTGATAGTAAATTTTTCCCTGTAACCCGAATAAAAGTTCTGGGAATCCTATTGCCTTCTGTGGTTATACATGGCAAATTTTTTGCCTTCGACAGCTTAGTTGTAAACAGAGACCGAGCACCCTACACTTAAGTGTAGGTGAAGTACTATTGACATATGCAAAAAGCAATATAAGATGTGAAAGTGAGTTACGTTTTAGCCTACTTTAGCCTAGCCATCAGAGAGAAATTCATGTATTAGTTCAAAAAATGAGATCAAAAGGATTTGGTATCTTTGATGCTTCGATTAGACCATTCGCTTTAGTATGTAGTAAAAGAGACTAAAAAAATTCCCTACTGCCCTTTGTAATGGTATGTATATGCTTTTAGTCCCTCGCCAGAAGGAGACAAGATGCATGGCCACCGATAAGTGCAGAGTAACTGTTTGATTATTCACAGTACCGCGAGCGCATGTTTAGTTTGATTTCATTAGAGGTCTAAACGCCTGTATAGTCAGAATTTTGGAATTCTACAAATACGTACCTGTGGGTAGCTCGCCAGGATAGGAAGCCTTCATGGCTGTTGTGGCCTTTGCGGCCTCTGTTGTGGTCTTTGTTGTGGCCTTAGTTGTGGCCTTTGTTGTGGCCTCTGTTGTGGTCTCTGTTGTGGCCTTTGTTGTGGCCTCTGTTGTGGTCTCTGTTGTGGCCTTTGTTGTGGCCTCTGTTGTAGACTCTGTGGTTGATTGCTCGGGCGCTTCGCACAATTTCGTTTTTTTGTTGCACGGTCCAGTCTTCTTTTTTTTACAACCACTACAGGGATTACTTGTTGTATCCACTTTGTATATATCTCCACTTGGAAGGACTGCTCTGTAAAAACATAGCTTCAATTTCTATGACGTACAATTGACGGCCAGAAAAGGTTCAAAGCAAGCAAAGCTTTCTAGTCCTAAACAGAACTGCATATTTATAGGCGATTTACGGCGCCAAAGACTGGGCCCTTGCATCCGACCAAGGTAAGTGGTGCGTGATAGAAACATCAGATGGTATGAAAACGAAGCGCTCGATCAGAGAGACGCGTCGATGCGTCTCCATCTTTGCATTGTAGGAATCGCCGTATGCTTCTGATTGAAGAAATCAAAATTCTTATTGGGGAAATCGGAGATTTTGTCGCTTTCGAATTTCCTAACAGCAATGTTGAATTGAGGAAAATTTGTGATATCTATCATATGCCTTCTGAAAAAAGCGTGTCGGAGCAGATATGGAACTGCAATTTGAGACCTGATTCAAGTTTCTCCAGAAATATCAAGTAAATCCATTCAGTATGTTCTTCTAATGTTTTTCTTGACTAAGGGCTTGCTGTTCGTAAATCGTAACAAGCAGGGCAAATCGTAATTGTGAATCTTTGAAAGTTTTAAGAAATTTAGTCTTGCTGTTGAACCAGCCCTTACCCAATCTTATCCAGAAAACCTGACATTTACTTGAGGCTCGCAAATTCTTCGTTATCCATGCAACAGACTTATTAATCTATGGAAGAAAGCTTACGGTTTGTCTGTTAGGCAAAACACGTATCTCTTTCCGGATTCACAGCTGAGCTCTGCACAGCCAATCTCTGTCGTTTCATCATGCATAAGCTGAAACATGTTGACATTATCTTGTTGATATCTCAATCGCACGTGAACTAACTTTAGAGAAGTTCGGGTATTTGGTAGCGGAGGCGGGCCTAATAACAGCGGTCGTAGGTGGAAGGCCTGGAAAGGTGCCCGTCTTATGCTCGTCCAACCAACCGATCACCCCATAGCTCACAGGATACCCGTCATCACTTCTAAAATTTATGTCGTAATATGATCTTCACACATAGACGTAAACCGCGATGAACGTGCCGTCACCATTCACTTACGAAACGTTTGAGAATTTGCTGAATTAGAATATCTAATTCATTACCAGTGACGACGGCACAAGAACTACAGATAAAAATACTATTAGTGATTGTGCTTACTCATAGTAAAATCCTGCATTTATTGTTTCATCAACGGGAGGTTGTTTCGTCCGTCCACAGTCAGTATCCAACATTACAATCGCTTTTTTCTCCAGTTTGCAACCCCATTTCTAAATTGTTACTGCAAAGCTTTTGCCTGAACTTTATATGATCGTTTATCATTTGAGTAGACTACTGATTGGAGTTAAATTACTTAGGCCAAATCAAAAGCACGACATGGGAGCTCTCACCTTCAAGCTAAACGCTGATTTTTGACATGAGTCATTCCTGCTTGAAGTACGTAAGGTAAGTTAAGGCACTTACAAGTTTAATCATTGCCGCTGCTGCTGGGAATGAATTAGGTGTTGTTAATTCTCCTTTTGCCAACCTCGATCGTTTATTATTGATTAAGCTTAGTATGTTATCATCAATATAAGATTTTTCGAGTACGCCATCATTACCGCAATATGCTGTAAATGATTATGATTACAGTATAGCTTTGTCGAATGTTTAAACCAACCTTCTGAAGAAGCTGAAGGCACTAATACTGACTGAAAATGATTTATTATAATTTAGAAAAGGCTCTATAAAAGGCTTGTAAGAGAGTCCCTTACCGTTAAGGGCAAAATCAAAAAGGGGAACATTTCGTAAATTTCCAAACTGTTCGAGTTTCGCCCGCTTTTAAGCATCCGCTGTGGGCGTGACAGCATCTTACGTAATTCGAATATTTAGATATTTGTTTAACTTGATGCAAGAATGTGATTTCTTCCAAAATTTCCAGAAAAACAAGTTAGCTAAGCAGTCTGTTATTGCTAACATCGTTTCATGCCATGCACGAAAAATCAAATTCTCTCAGAAAACCTAAGGCAGTTTTTTTATTCCGAGGAAAAGCATTTGACTTATTCGTTACTGACCTTTTGACAGAAGTTATCTAAAAAAATAAAAAGATGTAGACGATGTAGTAATCGTAATTTCTGAAAACAAAAAACAACTCTAGATGATAAATGAGAACTCTTCTATCAATGTCCCTACGTTAGTCTTAGACTTTTTCTAGATATATAATATTAGGTTGGCTAATAAATAATTTCGGTCGCTTTCTCAGCTCTTGCAAATGCTGTAGACAAATTTTTGTCCAATGTTTGGTATCTCTGAAAAGAGCACTTCACTGGGTATTGGAGCATATATTCTGTTTGAATAAAACTTATCTTCCCAGGGAAAAAATCCGCAAAGAAGTGAAAAATCGCAATTTTCCCATAATGCGCAAATATGAGAAAATTTGGTTTTCTTAGTGAAACATTTTCAAAATGGCGGATCACAGTTTTTTTTGTTGTTCACTAAATGGAGATAACTCCTCTGTGTCCAATTACCAAGCTGTTCTTTACATCCATTACTGCATGAAAACGAAGCTCAAGAAGTCAAAGAATTGAGCTTTTGGAAATTTCGCCATGTTGAGGCATAACTGTCTTCACCGACTATAGAAAATTCTGATTATGTGATATGTGATGGAGGAAGCTTCGATCTACTTTCCCACAAAGAATCATAGATTGAAAACAACAAGAAACTTTTTTTGTGACAATTTGTATGCCAAAACGAACTTACTTTTTAGCAAACCTAATAGTTTCAAAGTGGTGTGAGTGCTGAAGTTACTGGAATGATGCGAGAGTAGAAGTCATTGGATGCAAATACCGATGTGAGAGTTTCAAAGAGTACTGAAAGCAAAAGGACGGTTTGGGGACGGTAAAAGAGGCGAACTAAATCTGGATATCTTCGTTGGTGAAGGCTAACCAATGTTCGCTCGACTGTATTAGGTTCACTTATTCTTTTTCTGTTTGTGAGAAGTATAGGGCAGACTTACATATGTGAGTTACAATGACCACAAGAACTTGCCTTTCACTGAACAGAATTCATGAATTTCAGAAGTCTTGAGAGCAGCTACCTAACCTTGATGGGTTCTCAGGCTCCAGTAACAGCTTTTGTGCTTCCATTATGTTTTGGGGCAAGGTAATAGGTTGATAGAAAAGTTTGTCGCACCATCAAGAAATCATGACTTTTTGCTCTCTCGACGTGTTACAATTTAATTTGTCGGCAGAAAAATCATTTTTAGTTGCAGAGTAAGCTTCCGAGGTGGAAGCAGGAGAATAAATACAACTTTGGTCATCCTGAATTAGATCGCGGGTTTTGAGTTTTTAGAAGGAACCGAAAAAATTTAGATTTGCTGCCATGTAATGCTTGCTCGAAAATCGTAACTCTCCAAAAAATGAAATATCAACACACTCTCTGCAGATTCGGGGAGGATGAAACCTAAAATATACAACTGCTTCCCCGAAATTTAGCGCAAGATTCAAATTTTTGGCAGCCTAAATTAAAATGCTCGAGGCAAAAGTATCTATCCTCTGCTTGTACTCAAAAATTTACCTTTCTTGAAGACCTGTAAAGACACTTTTACAAAGAAAATAACTTTCCTATCTAATAAAATTTATGCAAATCCGCTGAAATTTTATCAAAAAATTGAGCCACAGCACTTTTGCACTGTAATAAATAGGTCATTTGTAGCTTGGCAAACTTTTAGATTTTATCTTTTTGTTTTGGAAAAATCTTAGTTTTGCGATTACCGAAGTCAGAGTTCCGAAACTCGGTAGCTACTCTTACGCAGAATTAAAAACTTCTTTCGGCCTGGTTAAGCAATAACTCCTTGGTTTAGATGTATTTGTGAAAGTCCCCTTCATTCTCCAGCTCAGACTGATTTTTCACCGTAATCAGGGGCGCTGATTGGTCCGCTCGGAAGAAGAGCTGGAGATTCAAATGATTTTAGCTAGAATCATACGAATGGTCGCTTGGGCTACCTTAGTAAGACTTTCGTTACCACATATGATTTAACCAAAACTCGCTTGGCACCTTTTTAAGGGACTATGCGATCTTTCCATAGAAACACTCACGGCAGAAAAAGATAGCTCTATAAAAGAGACCGCTTTCAGCAATTCTTACAACAAAGCGAGGCAGGCGATGTGCTTAGATCGGGACAGATGGTAATGAAATGCTAAGGTTTACTGATGTGAAATCAGGTTTTATACAGAATATTGTGAAATGTGTAAAAAAGACTTTTGAAACCTTGTAAACTTTCTCTAAAATGTAGGTAAATTCAAATGTAACATTCCAGACTTTTCCAAACTGATATTGTCACTTTTCCACAAAGTAAAAGATAAAGTCGTATAACAAAACAATAATTCAAAGATTGTTCAAGATTTCATGAAATCCTAATTTTACTTGACCCTCGTTTTATGCACATAAAACGCAGTCCCTCCTCCATTGAAGTGATGTTTATCATTGTCCCCTCGGGCAAGTGCTTTGCTTGCTGGACCAGTCCCTTTTTTACCCTATAGTTTTTTTGGATGGTACACGTCTCCTTCTGAAGCTTTCATATAGCTTACCTATCTCTAGAAAGTCTTGTACCGCATCAAACAAGCGCACCATGCATATATTTACCAAACTAAGCTTTCTTTTAGATTTATGGTGCTATAAAACGTAGCTTGACAACAACGATGTCATACTGTATTCTGTATGAGGCACTGCAGTCTTGGCTAGCGGTGTATCCGTCGATTCGTTTATTGCAGAATAGTAATTCAATTTATAGAGACAGAATTCTTTTCAAGCTTTTCTTCTGTGTCTAGCAAAATCATGGTGCAAATTAATCCATCCTTAATCCTCACTTGAGCCCCTAAGTCGGGTGGAAAGCACAAGTTGCGAGGTATCAATCTTGATGAAGCCCTCGGGACTCTATAACCTGGTTCCAAATGAACTTCACAAGATCGGATAAGAACATTTAAAAGAGAATCAAGGCTACAAGGAATCGAATAACCTCAATAACAATGTACTTTGCCTCGACGTAAAGATCGCGACAAATCGTAGCGATTCTGACTCATGTTTCGCCAATCGCAGCAAAATAAAACTGAGAAAGCCGAAAAAATTACCCAGTATTTTGAATTCCGGGCATGCGGCAGTTCAGTGGCAACTTTCCGTGGCGGCGATTCACTGAACCCTTTTGATAGAAGTGAATTTTGACCGTTTGATGGTTCTCAATCCTTTAACATTTTCTTCCCAAATATCATAGGTGGAGGAAAGGGCTCCGCCAGTGGGCACCAATTGCGCGGACTATTGATCCTAACGCGGTAAGTCTCGGTCTGTGCAAAGGACCGTTTTGTTTTATTTCAAAAATATTGCAATCCGCGAACACAGCGCGTGCTGGCGAATTCATTCCCATGCGCAAATATCATTGCTGGACCTTGCGAAATTTATTTTGAGCCTAGTTGTGAGGTCTCGATGGTTTTGACAATGTTAATGCTTTGCAGCCAATCTCTTCCACCCGAATTAGTGGCTTAAATGTAATTTGTTGAAGACAAACTTCCAATGTCATTTGATTCTCTGCAAAATTGCTTGCTATTGGCCATCTCTCTCATGGTTGCAACTTGTTCGGACTCTGAACAGATATGCGAAAAAAAAGAATAATCAAATGATTGCCATTTATGCACGCACCTGACTTTTGTGCAAAAAGTATGCGATTCTGGCAGTTTTCCTGAACCAATATCGAAGCCATCTTTGCTTCTGTTTATCATTCTGTTGCTTTTTTTTGCATTTTGGAGAGATATGTACAGAGATTGTGCATAGTCCACTTTGGCCAGCGTTGCTCGTTCATTGGATTTTAGGAATAGAGATATCCAGAGCATATTTCTTGATCTGATTGTGAATAACCTGATGAAACATCAGGAGACCCTAAATAAGTGATAGTTCGTTCTTAGAAGATGGAAAAGCATCAAAGTCAATCGATTTACGTTCTGATAGTCATCATAAATAGATTAAAAGACTTTTATCTCTCCCGCCCCCTCATACGAATCTGTAATTCTTGTACGCGTGAAATTAGGGTATCTGTTGGCGGAAATGTTAACTCAAATCTTACATAATCATTACCTACTAATTACACAGCAGTAAAAAGTCGTTTTCGAAAATTTTCTCCCTTCCGCTAAGGATACCAGATGTAGGCTTTCTAAGGAAAGTAGACATTGTAATAGCATGAACTGCCCTGACACAAAGCTCATGCAACTGCCTAAAGAGCCAATAATCGGAACTTTCTCATTTAAATGCACTCGTCTTACAAGGGAATGATACTCAATGTCCGTGGCCTTTTGAGACGAGATATATATAATACCATTACACTCGTCTTCGAACGCTGATTCCGAATCTGACCTCTGTTTCTGCTAATCATTTCTCTGAAAGAAGTTATGGAGGAATCTCGAGCCAACTTCGGCCGCTCAAGGCTATGGTCACCGGAAAGGCCTCTACCCGCCAATTATTGTCTAGTGGTTAGTGTGATAGCCTCATAACTTGATGCAGGTGTAGGTTCAAATCCTTTTGTGTTTTTTATTTTGCACTGCCTCTACTAAACTTGTTCGAGATTTTTTCGAATTATGATCATTGGATACATTTTAGCGCAAATAGTAATCATTTTTTCCAAATTTTTTGAAGAGTAAGGGCGTTCAGCTTGAAGATACGAAAGACGAAAGAAAGTTTATTGAAGCAATGCAAAACTGAAAAACACGAAAAGATTCCGACCTACACCTACATCAACTCATGAGCCTATCGCACTAACCACTAGACCACACCGCACCGTTGTTGACGCTCCGAACGTATGCAGTGGGCAGCCAAAGCCTGCACAATC